CCCAGCCCCATCCCTGCCCCCCAGTCCCCAACTCCCACCAGGCACCGCTGTACTTTGGGGCAAACAGCATTGCTCAGAGCACCAAATGCTGCTGCTGCCCATTTCCCGTCTGACCTTGGCCCAGGTAACTTGTCTCCCTCCTCCCTACTTACAGAAAAGTGATTACTGCAAGTGGGCAGAAAAAAAAAAAAAAACATAAAGAAGAAGAAGGGGTTCAGTTCATCCCATCCAGTGCTATGATACGAGTTCATATGCATTTCAGTTGTCAGAATCCAGAGGGATTCACGGAAATGCCTTCAATTTTAAAGGCTGTGCAAACCTGGAGCTCACATTCAAAGAAGGCTGACTTCCAGCTGCTTTATAACGATTTTAACGGGACAACAGAGCAAAGCGTCTTCCTATTTTCAACCCTAGCAATTTGGTTCAAGCGTGATCTCAGCCACTTTAAGCTTTGATATTTCTAGCCACCTCTTATGCTGTATTTTCTCTTAATGCCACCAATCATGTGTGAAATTCTGTTGCAAAACTAATCTTTGTGGGAAATGATATATAATGACTTCTTTAAAGAGAGACAGAGAGGGCAGTGACTATGACCTTTGTTGTTTTTTGACATGCTTTTCATAGTGTAATACAGATGGAAACAGCTCTTTCTCAAGGTCAAAGTCGAAATAGTTTTCTGCTTATACAAGCATCCCTCTTTCTTAAGCAGGAAAAGCCTTGAAAATTATCCTCATGACTTGACTTTAAAAACCTCTAAGGTATAGAATGGTTGATAAACTTGAAAACCAGCTGTGCTCAAAATACAGTTTCATATCCATCTTATTAAATCAATACTTAAAGTTTTACCTTTCAAATGATGTGAAAAGATTTACAAATATACAAAAGATGTGAATGAGAAATAAAATTTGGGTATTTATATAACAAGGCACTATTTTAGGATCCAGTGTTACACTCACACACACACACGCACACGCTCACACACACGCACACGCACACATATATGCTAGCCAACACACCTGGTCTTATCAAGGGAGATTTCAGTCAAAAGCAGCTGTGACCAAATATTCTGCAGTGGAAGTCAGAAAACACTAATTTAAATTTTTCACTTGTTTTTTGGAACAATTATGCCACCCACAAAAGGGTAACTTTGCAAGTCGTCATTATCTCATGAATTTTGGAACTTGTCCCTTAAATAAACTCATCTCGTTTCCATGTAATTACAGCAACTAAGAAGGCCCTTTCAAAAAGAAGAAAAACTTAGCTCAAAATTTAAGGGTCCTAATTAAAGAATCCCTGTTACTGACATTTTGATCATCCTTGGAATTTGGTTCCCGAAAATGAGAACTTCCTGTGAATCTGAAAGAGGAATGTCTTGAGAGCGTTCTCTTAGATTTCAGTTTCCTGCATCTGATGCTTTCTGACAACGTTCACCTGTCACATCCGCCATCCCTGTTATGTAGTAATTGATTGCATGTCATTTAGATTCATTTGTAATAACACACAATGGTAATGACTTCAAACTTCAAAAAGGGTAACCTGGACTAACAAATTCCTTCCTGAATTATTCTCTCCCGCTGGCAACCTCGGGGAAATAGAAGCACGTCCAGAGTGCCTGAGGGACTCAAGTAGACCTAATTCCCCATAACAGATCACCTAGTACCAACTAATTAGGATGAGTTAAATGTTTCCACTGAAAACACACACACAAAGAGGAATGTTTTTCTCTGCTGCCTGCTGTTTTCTGCTCATTTCCTTCCTTGTAGCCTTGCCGCCTAACTGCTTTTCTAACACAACCAAAAGTGTAAACGCTGACTGGAGAATGTTCTAAACATCCCAGCGGAAAAACAAAGTCCTTCCTATGACAATGTATAAACGTGTCTATTATAGGCAGGGGAATAGGCTGCTGGTCTAGAATTTTCCTACGAGATTTTTTTTCTAACTGTTGTATTAAAAGCTTCCTCCATCAAGTATTTCTTGTTATGATAGGCACAGCGCTAAGTCTTTTCCAGGTTTTTCTAAGGCATTTTAAGGAAGACAGCTGATTCACAATTAGCACCACGCTGCACTTGAACGGCTCATTCGCACTTTCTAAATTTTGCTCGCCCTTTTCTCCAGGTTTAATGAACATGCCATGAATAGTAGCATTGAGAGGGAGCTCTAATGTTTGTCTCAAGTTCTACTCATTTGTTTAAGATGCATCCTTTCTTTTTGCAGCAGGATTCTCAGGGAGCAAGCCCTCGCCCCTGCTTGGCTGTAAGTACCCCAGAATCTCCATCTGGTTGATTTTCGGGCACGTCGAATTTCCTCAGTGCCATCAGGCTCCCATTTTCTCTCCTGATGGCAAAGGGCTGTGACATGACACCTCTCTGGCAAACTGTGGACAATTTGTGAGGTTGGCAGGACCACGGGCAGCCATTCATCACTCCAGCAGTGGAGAAATGTGTGCAGCCAGATGGAAGGGGAAGATGATTCAGACATACTGGAGACAGTACATGGTTACAGCCTTCTGCTGGGATGTACCTGCCCTTCATGCCAGCACTGTCCCCTGACCCAACCGTAACCAGGTGGCACGGGGCAGGTCTGCTGTGCTCACAGCCAGCCAGGACCGCTCCCTTCATCCAGTGAGAAGTCTCCCAGCTGCTTGCTGTTATTTGCGGATTAATTTTTTTAAAATTTATTTTCTTATTTATTATCTCTAGGTCTCATTTGCAAACGGGGGATCATAATACTACCTTTTTTTTTTTTTTTTTTTTGCCACATGTGGGATGTTAGTTCCCCAACCAGTGATTGAACCCGGGCCCTCGGCAGTGAAAGCGCAGAGTCCTAACCACTGGACCACCAGGGAACTCTCTATTTCCGGATCAATTGTTAACGGTTCTTTATCCTCGGCACATGCAATTTTTAGGTCTGTCAAATATTCCTGCGGGTGGAGAGGGTAACTTCACAAGTCTTTATGATTTTCCCTTGCTTTTACAGTAAATCTCAATCAGGTTGCTTGCTGGGATTTTTCCTCTCTTCTTTCTCCCGTGTGAACCTGATTCTTAACTCCAAGTAATGAATGCGAGATCGACAGAATAAGTAACAAACGTATCCACGGTGACTGAACAGCAAACTCTTAAATTACTGTGCAGTAAGTGCAAATGAACAATTATTGAAAACACTGCACTAAAATTTCAGTAGGAGATAAGAGTGAGGCTTAAGTCATTAAAAGGGTCCATTAGCCTCGTGAGTCTGAGACAGCACACTCAAAACACGAGTTATTCTGGAGAACTGGAAATATTACTTATTCCACCAACTTGCACACACACAGCTGACTCCAACTGAGAAAGGACGGGGTCACAGTGTCCAGCCCCTAAGGGGAAAGGGGTCTACAGAGAAGCAGAGGCTGGGCCAGTCTGTCCAGGCAATGAGTCTTCAGTTAAACTTGAAAGGCGTAGCAGGCGAGCAAAACTGACAAATTAGATTATTTACAAGGGAAGTAAATACCCTGCTTGCATATCAATTCCCAGGGTATTAGAGCATCACCCATGCTCTCCATCACTCCCTGCTGGGGACACAAATAAAGACTTCTGACACCTCTACCCCATTCCCACAAATCACCAGAAAAGCCCAAGAATTCAGCCCTGCTTTCCTTTTGTCCCTGTTCTCCCTGACCTGATAAACCCTCTGCAGTTCAAATATGAAGAAGAAAGTCACGGGTGACCAAACTGCAAAGTGAAAGCACTGTTTTGAAAAAATTACCTGAAATAGCTACACCCACATAAATACACGTATGTGCCTACGTACATACACACATACATACATACTGTTAAGGATTTGCAACATTAAATTGCTGTTGAATCTTAACACGCCTGGGTCGTATTGTCAATTCTGACCCTAGATCGTGGACCACACATTTTATGAGAGACAGGTGGGCTCCCAGAGCTCTGGATGCCAAACAGCTTGAGCGAGGGGCTGCATAACAGAACCTGAAAGAAACAGCATTCCTAAATACACACGATTTCCTCCGAGAATATAAAACCATATCTCACGCCGGAATTATGGTGAGACCGAACCGTGCTCATGACACAGAGGGCAACTTTAGCCTTGCCTTTAAAAGAGTACAGTTTCATCTGAAGCAGGACATCATATTTCAATGTGTGCTATTAAAAACTTGCATTACACAGTGAAGCTAATTGCCCTGTGAATCACCCTGCTTTACAAAACGGCTGGACTAGCATGCAGTTAATAATACGAGCTAGCCCAGTGAATATTTCTCCAAGAGACACAGGAAGATCCAGTACAGCACAGATGGCCTCTGGACCAGTACTTTTACACCACTGCTCTGGTTAACACTACATCCTCACCACCATCACCTTAGGCATTGTTGCAAGAGGTTGAAAACTTAAGCTAAAATTAAAATCTTCCTTTCCATCTCTCAAATACCAGTACAGATGCTGAAATGTTATTTTGTCCAAAAGGCGTATTATCTTTACAAGCTTTTGCGTGTGTCAAAAACATTCACAATAAACACTTGCTATTTTATGAATTGTCAATTAACACGCTTACCACCTCTATCACTACCCCCTGGAAAGAGTGTTAACTCTGGATTCTGCTTAAATGTGTCTCTCAAATGAGGAGCCTTGCTTTAAAATCGATTTTAGTTATCTTTAAGACTTCTTTCCAAACGTGACGCAAATTAAAGGGAAATCAAAACTGCTGTCAAGACAACTAAAAAGCACTCAGCTTCTCCATACTTTGGCAAATGTTTCAAAGGCTCGAGCAAACAAAACAAAGCAAATAGTACGCACAGCAATAAACAACCGAGAAACTAATACTGCCCCAAGTTTCTCGAAATACCTCTTTAATTGAAAAATGACTCTAGCTTACATATTTCCAAGCAAGGCAACTGATCACCCAGAGCATTTGCATCATGGAACCCTCACCCCTCTTCAGCTGCTCTCACAAACCTTTTAATATCAGAGAGATGCCCTTAGGTGATGATGCGGGATGAAACTTACAGAAGGAAAGCATAACTTCAGGGAGGAGGAAAGGATATTCCGTCTAATCCTTGGCTTCGTATTTAGGGAAGGGTTTTGCCTTCTCCCCATCAGTAAGTTGCAGCGTTACAGTGCAAATGTGCAGCTCCCAGCCCACTTACACTGCTCCACTAAGAGCCCAGATCTAAGCCTCAACATGTTTTCTGGAAGGGCAGGCAGCTCCGCAGAAAACCTAAGGGGGGTTTCCACCACGGCACGCAACTAAACTGCACAAACATTTAACAGCTCCGAGACCTCTAAAGGTTTAAAATAATATGCACTTTGTGCCAGGATGCTCTAGCTGGATGGAAAACTGGGATGCTGTGGAAGGGTGCTCTCAGCTGTCCAAGCACCGCACACCAAAGAATGTTTTCTTTCCCTTTCTGCCTCAGAATTAGGGGAAAACCAAAATGCTTAATGAACCGTAGATATTGACTAAGCTTCCACAGCATCCATAGTACAGAACTTTTACATTCCATTGAGTTTGCCCATGACTTTCCCACGCCGCACCATTTCTCCTTCCTCACCTAGCTAAAAAAAAAATCAACTTCATCACACAAATCAAGGCAAAGTTTAGCCACCCTCACCCCTGCCTCTTTCCTTTTCCAACTTCAACTCCTCTACGACTAACAAACAGCCCCGATCGTAGCACAAAGGAAGCTCCTAGGGCTGCACCAGCTGGGTCCTCCAGTTGCCTGCTGAAGGTAGGTTTACTGGAATAGATTCTCGAGGCTTTGCCGAGATTTTCGAAAGGGCTTGTCTGCCCTGATGAAGAGCTGGGCACCCTCAGCATGACATCATCAGCGTGAACACTCACCAAAATACATTATGCTTCTCATTAATCAGACAGCCGGAACCCCACCGCGGCGTCTTCAGCATCAGCTCGCACCCAGGGCTGCCGCGCAGAGCCAACCCGTTTCATGCTACATTCGGCGGAAACGTCCCCGGCGTGGAGAGCAGGGGCGCCGAGCGTGCCGCCTCCGCCGCGGGATGAGCGCCTCTCGGGCCGCCTTTCCCGGGCTACGGTCCCCGGCGGCTGGAGCGTGCACTCGGGCTGCCTGCTGCACTGCCCATCCTTACTGTAATCCGACTCCTCCTTGCGATGTCCTTGCTGCGCCTGTGACATCAGGACTGAGAGTACTACAAACAGACCCCCCCCACACTCCACCCCACCCCACCCCCGGTTCGCCGCGGCTCCGGGAGGTGCTTCGATTGCCTGCCTGGACCAACCATGGTGCTCGGGAAGCGTTGACGAGCCCAGAGACCTGGGAGGGGGCGGAGTGAGGGGCGCGGGAGGCTGTCTTAAAGAGAGAAGGGTCTCCAGAGCCACGGAGGCGCGCACGGGGGGAGAAATTCACCGGGAGGGGGGCGAGAGGGGACAGGGTTAAGGCGACTTCTGTCACTGACGTGTCATTAGACACACTTTTATCCCGCCCCTCCCGCGAATGGCAGCATCCCCGCCCCAACTGAGTCTCCCCTCCCAAGTTTAAAAGGCAGTAGGAAGGGGAATGGTGCCTTGTGCCTGCATTCTCTTTGCTGTAGGCTTGAGGGTTGGTTGCTGTCTGTGATGGTTATACCTAAAAGACTCCAGGGACCATGCTAGGGTAATACAGGTTTCCACTGAGAAGTGATCAGATCACAGAAACCCAGCAGTTGGTGAAGAGTTGTTTTTATTTCTTGAGTATTTTCTGAGCTAGGTTGATAGAGAAATGTAAAGAAAAATAACTGGTGATGAAAGTCACCTCGCACCTGCACGAGATCACATTTGCTGCCTCCCGAAGCAGGTAGTAGAAAGGACACTGAGCCTGAAATGATCCCTGACCCCTAAAGGGGAGAGACATTTTAGCCTGAAAGATAACCAGGATTGTGTCATAATTCAAGTCTGGTCACCAGTATAATATAGACACACACAAGCACTCCCATTACATTTGAGATGAACAGTCGAGAAAGGCAAAGCTTAGCAAAGAAGCTTAGCCCTTACATAGAAAAGGATGTTAAAAAGAAATCGCTGAAAGCTGGACTGATTAATATTTCAATGCTCTGCACTGAAAATAAACCCATAGAGCAAGTTCAGTTTCATAAGGACTCATCTCGTTGGGGTCCAACTTACCTACTGGACCATTTAAACTTAAACATTTCTACAAAAATCTATTAAACTAAGAACTGAAGATATTGATAAACCATAATGGAAAAGAATATAAAAAAAGAAAAAAGCAAATAAAAATTAAAAAAAATAAAGAACTGAAGATAAAGAACTGTAGCCTATGGAAGCAAGCAACTGATATATTTTAATAGGAGTTTTGGTAAGCCACGGTAGCCAATATTTCTCCACTGTGATATTAAAATATTCCATGGTCTTTTCTTGCACAATTCTGCGTCTGTTGATGGGTTTAATACATGGGGGGGGGGGCTGAGGCTCGTAACAGCTTGCTCTGCAATCTTGCAGTGGATTATAAAGAATTTGGTGAATGCAAATAGATAATCATATATAAATCAGAAACATTACAGCGAGTCTTAGGATAAATCTGGTGATGCTCTTTTAGAAATAGTCTTCATTTAAAGCAATTTGGAGGAAGAAAATGTCAATAGTAAAGAATATTTACTTTTTTTACTCCTAGTTTTAAATTAAAACTAAAAAGAATGTTACAGGAAAATCCTGAAGAAAATACATAAGTGGTTTTCCTTTTGGACAGATGGAAATCATCCAAAAGTACAATTATTGGCCTTTCCCTCAGGCAAAAGAACCATCTGTGGTAGAGCTTATTCCTGAAGCTCATCAGGTGTCTTGACGGCCTACATGGGCTAGGGGGCGCTGTAGTTTAATGTTAGAGTTTTTGGTCCTTTCGACTTCCTGTAGTTAGAAGGTGGAAGCTTTTAGAGTTGCATTTAAAACAGGAGATTTAAGATACTAAAGGACTCTCTTAATAATTAATAACACCCTTGAATTTGTGTGGCATTCTGCAGTCACAAGGTCTTTTCACTTATGTCATCTTCCTTGCTAACAAACTGAGATCTCCAAAGGCGTATATTATAATCACAAGAACCTGAGGCTCAGAGACTTTAGGCAACTTTCTCAATGATGTCAGTGAATGTCAATACAGAATAGTTGTCTTACTGTGTGTATGTTGACTTTATGTTCAAGTCCCCAGCAGAGCTGTTTATTCAAATTCTAAATTTCCACTCAGGTAAAGATCGCCCCCAATCATATTACATCACTGCATGTTCCAGAAAAAATATATATATTTATATGGTCATGAAAACAGAGGCAGAGAGCATTTGGTACTAGAACATTCCAACCTCTACCGGGTCTGAAAGAGCAGTGTGTCGCCTCTGAAAGAACATGGCATCCAAGGAGCTGCGTGTTACATTCATACAATGGAATTCTGTTCAAAGAAAAAAATGAGGGTGTCTGCTTTATTTAAACACGTGTGCCCCATCCACCTCCAATTCAGGGTTATCTGGAATATCAAGACCTCCGATAGAAAAGTTGCTTATTTCTGGATGGAAAACAAGTGGTTTTTATTTTACTTGTATACTTATTATCGTTCCTTCTAAAATTACTTTATGTGTATATATTATATTTATAAAGAAAAAATGCGACTATTTTTATCTTGAAACAAAATAACATCTAAACAAAGGCACAGCTGAGGTTGGCTAGACGAAGGGTTGTGGACATGACAGCCGTGCCTGAGAGATGTGCCCATATGTCACCCCCCAGGAGAGGACCCAGCAGCTCCCAGGGAAGGACCTCGTTCACACCAGTGGCTTTTCTCTGTCTCTCAGAAAGTATGAGAAGCTGAGAAATTCTGAGGGGGAATAAGGTAGAAATAGACCTTTCACGAGTAAGACAAAGGATGCCCTAAAACCAGTCACATATTTGGACTGAAAACATCATGGAAAGATGTGAATTTTCCCTTTGCTCAGATATCCGGAGAGCTGCCTGCTTGGATTCTCCTGTCTCCTGAAAGCCTTGTTCAAAGGTTTGTCAGGGTAGTCATTCCCAGTCTCCCTTCTAACAGTTCAGACTTCCTTCCTCCTTCCCCTGGCTTTTCCTAACCCCTCACCACCCTCTTAAGTCTCCATAACATGTATCACCATCTGACCCACTACTGTGGACATCTGTTCATTTTGATCTCTCTCCATCGGAATATCATCTCCACGAGGGCAGGGATTTTCCTTGTTGTTCACTGCTGTCTCCACCATCCTTACAAGGGTATCTGGTACTTGCTGCTACTCAATAAACATTTGTGAATGGATGAATGAATGAACATAACCGAGTACCACCTTACTCTGCGTAAAACATCATACTTTCCTATGTGCCTGCAGGAAATCTTTGAGACTGATGGTGTTTGATGCAAACTGTTTACACAAATTGAGTGTGTCCATGCTTAGCAGCAGCTGTTCTCACATTCCATGCAATACAGATGCCAGGTGGTCCTGCAGACCACAGCGTGTGAGCTTGCTTGTCCTGTCTCATAGCTGAATGCAGCAGTCATGCAGCCCTGACTTAGCAGAGCCCGTTTATGTCGCCTTCCTCTGCGTCTTAGTTTTGTCCACTTTCATCTCTTCCTTATGTATCCGCAGTAAAGTTTTATCCAATGTTCCTTATTCCAGGCTTGCCCAAGGCCAACCCATGCTCCATATTAGATCCATTATTATCTTTTTAAAACAGATGTGATCAACTCACTCCCTTGCTTAAGACTCTTCATTGTCTATTTCACCTACCAGGGTATATAGGGCCTTTCACAACTAGCCCCTGATTACTTTTCCACTTGTGAATGCTTGATCCTTCACAAGCTTCACTCCAATCCCACTGCAGGACTACAGTTCCCCTGAAGACTACACTCCTCTTACCTGCTGTCTTTATCTGGACAGTTCCTATTCAACTTCTGGGGCTTTGTTCAAGTATTATTTCTTCTGAGAACCTTTCCTAACCTCAAGAGTGAAGGAGGTACTGCTCCCATTTTGTTTTCAGATAGCATATTTTCTAAGTCCTACTTGAGCACTTAAACATAGTGTGGGGATTGCCCTTTACTTGTCCGTCTCCCAAATGAAAGAGGATGCTCTTTTTTTTTTTTTTTTTTAAATCTCCAAGACCTAGTATAAATCAGTATTTAATGAATGATTCCATTATTTATCTATTCATTCATTCCATGTTTACTGAATACATTCCATATCTTTTGAATGTCTACTTCGTGCCATGCATTGTACTAGGTGATGGATAAATAACGCCGCAGAAAGTGCAAAAGGCAATGGGGGACGTGCCTGAGGGTTACCAGGAAGAGCAGGAAGGTCAATGCGCTAGAGAGGAAGTAGGTACTGAGGAGGATATTAATAGTTGAAGTGAAATAGGTTACATGCAGCCTAATTCAGTAGGACTTTGGTTGGCCATATCATAAAGATTTAGACTTTTATTCCGACTTGTATAGAATGCCTTTGGAGTAACGTAATTTGACATATTTTAACAGGTTCACTATGGCTGATGCATGGAGAATGGATAAAAGGGAGCAAAGGAAAACACAGGTGACCACTTAGGAAGCCTTTGTAATAATCTAGGAAAGAAATGGTGGCTTAGACCAGGGTGGGAGCAGTGGAGATAGTAAAAAGTGATTGGAATCTATACATGTGACAAAATGGGTCAATAGGGTTTCTTGATGAGTTGGGAAAGTGATGGAAGAGGGAAAAAAAAAAAGAGTAATAGATTATTTGAAATTTGGAGACTCAGCAATTGGAAGGTGAAATTTCCACTAACTGATAAGAAGACTGTGGAAAAACATGTTTGGGTGGGGGGGTAGGAGGTAGTCAATGCAGGGCCTATTTAGTTTGAGTCCTATTATAATATTCAAGTGGAAATGTTCCCTAGCAGTTGGGCTATATAAGTATGGAGTTCAGGGGAGATGCTTGAACTTCATATTTAAAGTCATTGTTTGTATCATTTTTTTTTAGATTCCACATATAAGTGATATCATATGGCATTTGCCTTTCTCTTTCTGACTTACTTCACTTAGTATGATAATCTCTAGGTCCATTCACGCTGCTGCAAGTGGCACTATTTCATTCTTTTTAACGGCTGAGTAGTATTCCATTGTGTATATATGTACCACATCTTCTTTATCCATTCATCTGTCAGTGGACCTTTAGGTTGTTTCCATGTCTCGGCTATTGTAAAT